GATCCTTTACAATAGATATTTCAGCTGATCTGTAACAATGCCATCTTCATGTCTTATATATCATGTACTGTATTACGACGCTAGATTAAAACTGACGAGGAAAAGTAACACCCGGCCACCGAAAGATTTATTATTGTGAAGCCTAGGTGGTCGTGTGGTCTAGAGTGTCGGATACAGTGCAGGCGATTTGGTGTCACGATATCTCAGTAGCATGAGTTCGAATCCCGGCGAGGGAAGTACAAAAAATTTGCGAAAGCAAATTTACAGATCTAACATTGTTGAGCTGATGTTTAGACGAGTTGTATAATTATACAGTATGTACACAGCCATGTATCACCATCACTGCTGGTGATCCGATGGATACATCTGTTGTAGAGTTGTCACTGGTTCAGACGTACTTATAAATATAATTATTTCTGTTACTGTATTTTGCATTAATTTGTAGGATCCTTTACAATAGATATTTCAGCTGATCTGTAACAATTCCATCTTCATGCCTTATATATCATGTACTGTATTACGACGCTAGATTAAAACTGACGAGGAAAGGTAACACCCGGCCACCGAAAACTTTATTATTGTGAAGCCTAGGTGGACGTGTGGTCTAGCGAATCGGATACAGTGCAGGCGATTTGGTGTCACGATATCTCAGTAGCATGAGTTCGAATCCAGGCGAGGGAAGAACAAAAAATTTGCGAAAGCAAATTTACAGATCTAATATTGTTGGGCTAATGTTTAAACGAGTTGTATATATAGATATATATATATATATATATATATATATATGGTCTTTTGGAAAATGTTGTTTGTGCTGTATTTAGACCCCTCTACCAAGAATTTTGTTTTGCATGCACACGTATAAAAATTGCGGCTTTTATCCAACGCAATCATAGGTTTGGACGTTGTTTTCAATTCAGATTTGTTTATATTTTTTCGTTTGGGCTTGTATTATGTTTGCCTTCGGGTTTATATGATCCGTTCATCCTATTTTGACTCTTTCAAAATTCGAGAGTCTATAATTATATGGCCTTCCAAATACCGTTTCGAATCCTAACATCACTGAAGAGACATTAATTGTCGAAATCCGGATATGGCGTACAAATTTTTGCACCTCATGTTTGCGGTATACCATCTTTTCCGCAAGTTTATTGTTTTCTGTTTGGTAATAAATTAATAATAAGATCTATTTTGTTACATCTTGTGATCCTTTTATTTGGCAATCGCCAATGGCAGTCAGCAGGGTTTAAGAACATCAGTTGTTCGACCTGCTAGTCAAATGCGTTTTGTTAAAATATACTTTTTCACTCATTTGGTCTTTTGGAAAATGTTTTTTGTGCTGTATTTAGACCCCTCTACCAAGAAATTTTTTTTGCATGCACACGTATAAAAATTGCGGTTTTTATCCAACGCAATCATAGGTTTGGACGTTGTTTTCAATTTAGACTTGTTTATATATTTCCGTTTGGGCTTCTATTATGTTTGCCTTCGGGTTAATATGATCCGTTCATCCTATTTTGACTCTTTCAAAATTCAAGAGTCTATCCTAAATTGAGGTAAATTATATGGCCTTCAAAATACCGTTTCGAATCCTAACATCACTGAAGAGACATTAATTGTCGAAATCCGGATATGGTGTACAAATTTTTGCACCTCATGTTTGCGGTATACCATCTTTTCCGCAAGTTTATTGTTTTTAGTTTGGTAGTAAATTAATAATAAGATCTATTTTTTTACATCTTGTGATCCTTTTATTTGGCAATCGTCAATAGCAGTCAGCAGGGTTTAAGAACATCAGTTGTTCGACCTGCTAGTCAAATGCGTTTTGTTAAAATATACTTTTTCACTCATTTGGTCTTTTGGAAAATGTTGTTTGTGCTGTATTTAGACCCCTCTAGCAAGAAGTTTGTTTTGCATGCACACGTATAAAAATTGCGGTTTTTATCCAACGCAATCATAGGTTTGAACGTAGTTTTCAATTTAGAATTGTTTATATATATATATATATAATATGAAATAACCAAAAATATTAATTTCATACAAGAACAGAACATTATATAAATTTATTCGTGTTTGTTTATGGTTCATTTCTGTTATAGAACACTGACCACTGCTGACTAGGAAATTATTCTCAAAATGATTGATTTTTTAAAGAACTACCATGACTTAGAATTATCTCTGAAACGGCAAATTAAATATGATACATCTGATGATATATCCCGTCCAGCAATTAGTATGTCGAATTTATTTAACATTTTTTCTTGATTTAAATATATAACTTAGCATTATGTACATGTTGTGAGAATGGAAATTGTATCATTTGTATTTTACTAAACTAGGAAATATCCAACGGCGAGTTTTGATAACCCTTTATAATTCCAATTTAGAGAAAAGCTGACGAAGTTTCCATAATGAGTATGAACATGATAAAGAGAGAAAGAGAAGATGCCAAAGGAACAATGAATAAGTATCATTCTAAGAATAATTATACACGACACCTTTGGAAAAAAATTAACAGTCTAAAAGTTAAACAACATTCCACAAAACACTACATACACTAAGACATGTTGATCAACAGTAACCACACTAAACACCGTGAAGACTGATTGTCAGGAATTGTAAGCAGTTCCTGCTCCATAAGTTGCATTCGTCTAGCTCATCATGGCAAGTAAAAATTCATTCGGTGATTTTTATATTTCACAATAAAGAAAAAGACTATGATATTAAAAATTTACCATATCTGTAGTTGACGATTCCAAAAGGGTTACACTAACTTTTTTATATCCTGTTATGTCATATGGCTCTTCAACTGTTTCGGTTCTTATACACCCTTGACTTTCAAATATTAGACATTCAGCGTTTCTGATTAAGGTGATCCATAAAAGCGCTTTGGACGCATGACATTTTAATTGTTTTACAGCACTGGGTCGATACAGCTGCTGGTAGACTATCCGTCCCCAAGGGTATCATCAGCTTAGTGGTCAGTACTTCTTCTGTACTGACATGATTTATAAAAAAATCTAAAATAGTGTTAGAAGTTCCTTCTCCAAATGTTACACCCGTCTTATTGCTTAAGCAAGTAAAATCCGATTAGTCGCTTTTTTAATGACACAATGAAGTGAAAGATATTTTATTATGCAAGCCTAGGAATATTGTATCAACTGGATATATATAAACTTCTGTAGATTTATACGTTGTCTATTAACAGTGACTTCAAGCTTCATTAAGGCGTTGCAGATACAAACATGTCTGTCATAACACCTTTCTCTTTAGTTATAACAAAATCGAATGCATCCCAATAACGCGAAGTAACACAGAAAATTGGCGCACTGCAAAAGGGTACGTTAACGTATACTCAAATCTCAAATCTCAAGATTAAGGGTCCTCGGAAAATGACAATTCACGTCAAGTTAGAGTAATTTTTTGACTTATGTTTTATACAGCTGCGATGTGTTAAAGTTTAAATTCTTTGATAATTTTTTTCTGAAATATTACTGCATGAATTCTTTCAAAATAGTTACACATTTTTATAAAAAAAAAAAAAAAAGCACATACAACCGTTGAAAAACGTTCTTAAATTTGTCTTAAAATCATCCAAATACAATCCAAAGTTTTTTTTTTTTTTTTAAAGTATTATATTTTTGATACATACATTTCCGTTTTAATGGTTTTAAATAATCCAAGTCACTGACTTCGCTCTTATTGTCTATACCTAGTCGTCAGATTTGCAAAGTGTTACAAATCGACTATTTACGGCTAACAAAGCGATGGTGTTATGCTTATAAAAACGTCGATTTTTAAGGATGTAGTTAATAGGTGAAATTAAACAAATATAGAATTTAAAATTTATACTATAAGTCACAAAAGCAATATAAAAGGAACACCATTATCCAAAAATATTGATAGCTTATGGAACTCCTTTTTGCGGTATTTAATTTTTTTTTAAATGGAGGGAAAAGGCTGACTTGGACTTTTACCTTAAATTTAGCATTGGAATTAATTGGGTCTCAAATCGTAAGAAAAAAAATCTGGAATCTGCTTAAATTTTGGTAATGACCTTTTTATGAGCTGTTGAAGTCTTCTATGAAAAGAAAATAAGGTGATATAGGGCAAAATATTTTACCCTGTATCGTAGGAAAAAAGCCAAGAAGTCCGAACATCTGACAAAAAATTCATAAACCTGACCTGAGTACATCCGTATGCCTATTGATTTCGCGGAATTTTTGTTCTCGCTGACGTTTTTAGTGCCACCTAATTATGTCCCTTTAGCTGCTATATATAGAGCTTGACGAAAACGAACGTTTCCAATGACTTGATTTCAAAGTGTTAAAGATTTTCAATCATTTCTTCATTAGTGATGTCTTTGTTACGTCATGAATGTAGGGGCATTTCGTTCAATCTGATATGTTGCATAATTTGGTGAAATGTATTAGAGTTTTTTGAGAAATTAACAAAATTTATCATTCATCCATTTTGGAATAAAATCCCTGACCTCTCACAATGAATGAGAGCACACCACACAACCATTAGAGGGTTGAAAATAGAAGTGATTCCTCAATTAGTTATATGTTTAAGGTAGATATCTATCTTTCCTCCAGTACGCAGAAATCCGCCATTAAATGAAATGTGAAAAAAACTGAGATTACAATTTCTTCAAAGGAATAATCCTACAACGCATGTTTTTTTTCATTTGATCGTTCATAATTTGTTTGCTTGAAGTGTATACGAATGCGATTGTATACTGATGTTTTTTATGCTTGTTTTGTTTTTTTTTTTTATTTTAGGTTTTTGGTTTTTTTTTTGTGTGTGATATTTTTATTTTGTTATTGTTTTTGTTTATAGTTGGTTCTTGTTGTTGGTTTAGGTTACATTTGTCTTGGGGTAGGGTACCATAATCTTCATATATGTATTGCTATTTCTACATTCAACTGTCATCAATTGATGAATCTTTTTTTGTATACATATAAAATCAGTTTAAATTACTATTGTGGCTGAAACATGGATTCGAATTTATATTTTTTATTATGGATACAGTTGAAAAACAGTATCATCACACATATAATACGACGTCATAGCAGACAAAGCTTTTAAGCAATCAAATGGATCAGAATGCGAGTCTTCAGATATAACCAATAACTGACTTGGATCTAAAAGTATTTCTGTATAATGATTTACCTCATCATGGCCTGTGGCTACACCTAAAACTTCAATATCTGATTTGTTTAAATTTAGCATTTGGTCACTCATTTCAGCGGAATAACCAGAGGTTAAGGAGGAAAACATCATAACTATTTTCCTAGAAGACGGTCGTCCACCATTTGAACTCGAAAAGGCATCAACGCCTACAAATTGAAGAGTATGGCTTAGATTCGATATGACCGAAACTTTGTCTAAGTCCACATTATTGGCATTACCGATTAGTTTGTCTACGTTGTTCAACCACGATAATTTGAAGATATAATCAGCATGATCTGAGTATGCTACCATACCTACTCGTTTGTTAGACCCATCGTTGTTTAAACCTTTGAGGAATTTTTCGATAGCTTTATGTCGGTACTGGAACTCGATGTTCGACTGGTTCTTTTGGACATCTAAAAGTATTATGATGTCCGCTTCTGTTTCACGTACGCACACTAAATTAAAAAAAAATTAGATTAATTGGTCAATCAAAACAAAGGAAAAAGTAAAATAATAAAAGTACCGAACTCAAAGGAAAATTCAAATTGGAAAGTCCCTTATCAAATTGCAAAATCAAAAGCTCAAACACATCAAACGAATGGAAAACAACTGTCATATTCCTGACTTGGTACATGCATTTCCTTATGTAGAAAATTGTGGATTAAACCTAGTTTATAGCTAGCTATAGAAATGTCATTCAACACTCCGTTTATTGTGATATATATTTTCGTATATAAATATTACAGGGTCACAAATGTAAAAGAATAATTGACATGCAGTAAGTCTGTTCTCTTTTCATTAAAAAGAAAGATAAACGGTCTTTTTGAATTGCCATGGAACTTAATATGTTACAAAGTTTTTCAAAATCTGAATAATTTAAAGCAGTTATAAATTGTGTGAGTGGTATTAATATAAAAATAAAATAACAATGTTATAACTTGAACATTGAGATCATGGAACAGTAAATATGTGATGTCACAGATTTTTGCATGATTTTGAAAACAACTTGTAAAGTTTGAATTTAACTTAAAATCAACAATCTAATTCATTTAAAACTCAGTCTGGTTTTTACGCTGAAGAAAGGATCCGTTGATAATAGGACACACGTGTTTTTTTATGTAATTATATTCATTATTCAAAGCCAATATTTAAATAGCCATTGTACGAATATGTTTGTTACTTTAAAGCAAAAATTACATTTAAAGCAAATATTCAACAGGCAAGATCTACAAATATGAATACAAACATCTGACAGAACTTGAAGAAAACTAAAGAATGATATTGGCTTTATTTTGTAACTTTTTTTATTTTTGAAATCAAGGGACCAAAACAATGTCCTTCTCATTCATTTAACCTTTTTTAACATGATATTTTTTAATAAGTAGGCAAGTGAGATGACTAAACCTTTTACATACTAATTTACAAATTTATGTCTTTTTTTACAAGAGGTGTCTCTGACGATAAGAGAAACATACATTTCAGTGAAATGCATATATTTGTATGACTCGTATTACTTCACAAAGAATAAACTTTTAGTATATGTTTGCATGTATGCTGTAGACAGATCTATGGTACTATTACAAAGTATGTATTAGCAATTGTTTAGATCTATTTTCCTAATGCTTGTAGTTAAAAGGTTTGGTTGGCTTGCTTGCTTTGTTTGTATAAATGCTTGCTCAAGCATTGTATTTAAGATTGACATCTGCAAACAATAGATATGCGGGACGTCAGCTTGCTATCTATTGATTGCGCAAACGTTTATACAAACAAAGCAAGCAAGACAACCAAACCTTTAAACCTATAAAATATTCATCAACATTAAATCATGTAGATAATAGCCTACCTGTACAACTAACATCTATGCTGTCTTGTATAAGCTGATTGTATATATCATCTAGGTGAATATGGTTAAATGCATAGTGTTCACTGTATGCAGTGTTGACAATCTCCTCGTGCGCTACTGCATTCCCAATACCTACTGAGGAAATTTTAATTCTTTTGTCTCTCATTTTATTTGCTTCCGATATTGTATTCATTCTATCGGATGACAAACCATCATAAATTAGAATGATGTATTTGTAAGCAGAGATACGAGATCCAGACGTTTTGTCGTAAAATATCTACAATTAAAAATGTTTAAATTTAGACAGATACTAAAAATGACAAACATAAATTCAAGAAGTTTCAGAAAGATGATAATTAATGCAGTAAAATTTCAGCTTTTTTCACAACAAAGGTACACTGCAGTCAAACCTGGAGACCAAATATACATAGCTTCAGACTAAAATCCTAACATTATTTCTACAAAGCATGACATCCCAATGAACTGCATAGGATTAAATAGAGTTTCTAGGTCCTCGTAAATGAAAAAAAAACACTCAAGGCAATATACCCCTACTAAGAAATCTGAAGGTTTAACCATAACTCACATCATTCTTTGTTAAATTCATGCCAAGGTTTAAATAACAAACAATAAGTGTCTATATATTAATGATGTTATTACAGATATTGCAAACATGAATAGTCTAACACATGATAAACTTACAATAAATAATTGTTCTTAGATATGTTTTAATGTTTCTGTTTACTTTCTGTGTATTTTCAATTCTACATATCTTTTATTATCTTTGTTCTCTGTGTTGTCCAGATTTGAATGTGTGTTTTTTACTCTTATTTTCGACACAAAATAGTTGTCTCATTGGCACTCATACCACATATTCTTTTTATACAAAAAGTATTTAACCAAAGAAGGCCATAATTGGTATAATAAATTCTTGGATGTGAGAAAGTCCTTTTTGTTGACTTTTTTATAATGATAGTTCAATGAATGCAAATCGTGTTTCTGTTATGACCTTCTTTACGTATTCTCTACACCCTAGTTCTGGGAAGCTTTCGTATTAACTAAGATCCGGACTTTATTTATCGTAATATCCAAAGAATTAGAAAGAACAAGATTGGTAAAATGCTATTCCTTAAAATACTAAGGACGGTAAAAAAAGATGTATTGAAATTAAGACGAAATTTCAGTTTTTGAAATTCTAGGCAATATTAGAAAAACAACATTCCCTTGAATAACCAGAACAGGGGACAACTTTCTGGAAAAAACATGTTTTTCGCTTTATTTTAATAATCTACAATTCTTCTGTTGCGTATATTTTTGTTACATGTTCTTTTTACTTTTGTTTTCTGTGTAGCATTTTGTAACAATCGTTCGTCGTTTCGTGCTTTTTCCTTTGATCATTTTGTTGTATGTTTGTAAAATAAACCTTTTGTATTGTACCGTGTATCTTCTCCTTCTAGATTTTGCACATTTTATTTCACAGTTTCCATTAATATACTTAAACTGTGATCAATTTTGTGTTTTGATCAATTTTGAACTAGCCATATGATACCTAGGTCATGTGGTTATAAAGAACTGTTAGTCGAATAAACAACCCTCATAATAGCCAAAAAGGAAAAACAAAACAAATATGAGCACACAAAACAAAATTGAAGGATAAAAACACAAACGTAAGCGAAAACCAGTGGTGAATTAGTGTAATTGTACAGTTTGAATGATTGTTTATTATATCATCAAAGTTTATTCAAGAGGCAGAAGATACCAAAGAAATAGCGAAACTCACAAGTCGAAAACAAACTGACAATACCGTGGCAAAAAATATTAAAAAGAAATGACGACTGAGCAACTCGAACCCCACCAAAAACGAGGTTTAGATCAGGTTCTCTTGAAGGGTAAGCAGATCCTGCTCCACATGTGACACCCGTGTTCTATGTACGCACTTTTTTGTAACATTATTCCTACCTCGTCTGCTTTTTGTAAAGCTTTACCAGTATATGTTGGTCCATTAGAAATGTTAATGTCATCAAATCCAGATGTAATCGATTGTACATTTGTATACTGTGCAAAGTTAAAGACAAGCGTTGGATTATAGCTGTATTTCATTAGAGCTATTTGGAAATCTTTCGGTCCTATAGGTAGCTTTGTGACAATGTACGTCATCATATAGATAATTCTATTCAGATGGCCTTTCGTACTGGAAGATGTATCTACCATGAACAGAATATCGGCTGGTCCTGGTCGACAGTCTTTAAAAACATTAAACAGAAATTTATATCTCTTATGTATAAATAACGTTAATAAAACATTAGAACATGTAGGAAGATAATCAATAATTTTTGCGACACTTTTGTCGTTGTGTCTACCCACTGACTATAGCTTTTCGTATTGAGATGGTGTCAATAATTCTGCAATCTACATATTCCTGTTGATTGATTGTTATTTGCTCAGTGGCAATTATTGCATGCATATCCAGGACCATTAACAATAAATTCAACAGGTAGAAGCTGCAAGGAAGCCTGATTAGAATAAGGACAGGAAATTTTGACTGCCACTGTGAATAAAGGTATGTTGGATATGGAATAGACATTAAACCTTTAAATAGGTCCCTCAATAGTTATTTCATGGTTACCAAAAGAGCGGATATAATGACACTCTCCGCACAAGATATCTGATTTAACGCCTCCCTTCCGACTGGACACGGCCACGTATTTATACAACCCGCACTGCCTAACGGATGTAGGAAGATAATTCAATATTTTAGCAAGGGGTTTTTAAGTCGGTCGAAAGAAGGCCGAGGTGGTTATATTTCTATACCCATGTAACCCCTAGTGTAAAATAAATTTAAAAAAAATATGACCGCTATTAAAGGCTATATGTCTTTCCCTTTTCATCTTTTCCTACTTTCTAAGACAGTTTGAAGATAAAATACCTACACATTAATACAAAATTAAACAAGAGGTACCAAAGAAACGCATTTAAGTTTTCTGCGTGATTTCCTCATTTTAAATAAAATTTTCTGAGTTTTAAACTCAAGTTTAAAATGTTTGAATGTCAGGGACACGATACACTTTTAAGCATAGAAAGGCTGATTCCAACAGAACAGACGAGTATCTTTTAATTTAATTTGATAATTTATTGTAAATAAAGACAAAACAAAACAATGCCTATACCTGGTTTACAGACACTCCACTGCATCCTAAGTTGACCATCACAGTACAAATTGTCGAAGCTGGTATCATTACTACATGTTATATTATTGTCATGTGAATCACAAGGTTTACCTTTAAAATGTAAAACTAATTGTTTTTAAATAATACAGTGACATTATTTAACAACTTTCTTTCGGCAATACATTTATTCTATTCTTGTGTTCATGTCTTTTGAAATAAAGTCATCAAAGACCCTCGACTTATAATTGTGTACCACGCCTGACTCGTGCACCGTCTACAATAGTGGTATTTGAATCAAATCATTTGGAAGATCAAATCAATTAGGACATTGAAGAGCATTGAAAACCATATATTCCAAAATATTGAGTCCAATCTTGCTTAGGCAATGCACATCAATAAAAGTATAATTTATTTACTGTTTTGTATTTTCTAGTTGTGGTATTTTAGAAGAAAAAAATATTAAAGCATGATGTTTTGTATGATCAAATTAGTAAATTTTTTCCAAGGGAGACAAGACTCAATGATCATAGGGCAGATTTTAGTTTAACATTATGAATAGATTAAATATATTCATTTAGATACAATCGGATAAATTATTTGCTTGTCATCGATCTGAAAGATGTGATGGATTGTTAGTTCGGGCATCTACTGGCATACATTTCGCACAATTTTCAGTTCGAGAATTGTTTCTTCAGATGTTTTCGCAATTTTGAGTGTTTTATTTGTTGCCCTTGACCGTATTGGCATGAGATGAAGAACGTGTGTTGGATGATTTCACGCCTGATTTTCTCACTGTATTAACACGATTGGTATTCAGTTTGTTCTAGTTTCTTTATTGCATGGATTTTGCTGTTCCCATTTGAATATGAGTTCTCAAAAATTTACATTTCTCTCATACCTAAATCAATTTGTCTTTTTATTTTTTAGAAAAACCTACATTTTTGACAAACAACCGGGTGTTTGACTAAGTAGTCATTGCAAGGTAAATCATTCCAAGTTGAGTCCTTATATATTTGACCGCAATTTTCGACATTCTTGTTGTTAGGTTCACCTGTAAAAATACACAGATGAAGTATATCGTGGAATTAATTGTCTCGTTTTCGGGTAGTTTTCTTTAATGATATATTAGAAGTTCATCTGAATTATTTGCATTTTTCAAACTAGCTTTCCTTTCAAATAATCTTACGTATATTTCAATTTGCTCTGTGTTTTTCTGGATGTATATAAAAAGTATGGAGATGTGATATGATTGCCAATAAGGTAACTACCCTAAAAAAACAAATAAAGTAGATGTTCTCGAATATTGCTTAATTGTTGAACAATTTATGCCAGCATTTGAATTTTAAATTATGCAAGATTGTTTGCCAGATGTGATTTATTTTTATTGACATCACGCTTCAATACTCAGATATAGCGTAATAGAATCCAGCAATAAATCTACTTTAACTAATGCTTGGTTATTTATTTATGTATTTCTGTGCCCTGAATGTTCTTGCATTTATTTGTACTTTATTCCTGTCACGTAATGTTGTCATTTTAGCGGTATTTTTAACATTGCTATATAAGCGGGAGGTTTGGCTAGCCATAAAACCAGGTTCAACCCACCATGTTTTCTTAACATGTCCTGTAACAAGTCAGAAATATGGTAATTGCTATCACATAGTCCGTTTTTATGTATGTTGGTGTTTGTTTTTGTAGCAGTTCAGTGTTTCTGTTGTTCCGTTTTGTTTCCTCTTATAGTTGATGTGTTTCCCTAAGTTTTGGTTTGTGACCCGTATTTGCTTCAGTTAAATTGATTTATGACTATCGAACAGCGGTATACTACTATTGCCTTTATTTGGGTCGTCTTTGTCTTGCATTGAGGTGAAAAAATTCAATCTATGTTGAAGACTTCCTAGGGACTTTTTAATGAAGAGTGACATTAAAAGCGCTGCCATGTCCCCTTTATTATATTTGTTTTTCTTTGTTTCATTAAATTAAGTAATTTTGTATCTTAAACAGAAAGAACATCATTCTTTTTCCATTATATATTTACAGGAATTAACTTTCGTGTGGACGCCCTTGTTTTAAGTGTAAGCTTTGTTTTTTTATACTTATGTTTGTATTGTTTCTGGATGTTACAGTTAGATTGTCGGACAAGTTATTTCAATATTTGTTATGTTTCCTTTTAAGATATGAATTATAGTTTGTTGGTATTACTCCGCAACTGTGTTTGTCATTGCGCAGATGTAGCATAAAATACATAATCTAAAGATTCAATGTTGAAGGAAATACTGAGACTTTGAGATGAAAAACAGCAATGAAAGTGCGATTTTTTTTGGAGTACGTGTAATGATTATGTATCATGAATGTAAACACTATCATTCTGTGCAAGTTACCGAAACTAGTAAGAAATAAATATAGAATATTGTCTTGACCACAACTTCTCATTGTAAGTTTCTAACATACTGATCTTGATTCAACTCCATTTAATAACACCAAAAAGATGATGTATGTTACATCTTCTTTTAATTTGATGGTGTAGCAGTATTCAAAAAACATTTCCTGAAATCAAATTGAATCTCTTCCTTCCAACGCCAAGGGCATTTGACAAAAACCTAATATTTGAAGAACATCTGTTAAGCATAATGCTTAAAGATAAACCAATAATCTCGACAATTTGCACTGTATGATAACTACAACAGGCAATTAAAGGATTAAATATTAGCATTGTTATGTAAGCAACGGTCTCAACGAAGTAAAAATTGTGTATAATGAACGTACCTTTTGCCCACTGCCAATCTATCTCATTGACGGGAGATCCATCTGACCATATCCAGTTTCCTTCTGTACATTTATCGTTTATACCAATCCAACCATTTTCGATACGATTTCTTCAATATTAAAAGAAAACTCTCTCGAAATTCATATTCAAGTAAGCGATATATGAAATTGTTGTTCATGTAAAGCAATATGTAAATGTCGTACTGTTTTGTTTTTGCATTTTAACACCTTTTTACATATATCACGCAGATGAATTTGATGTATACCAGCTTATCGTTTTCTTTTGCAAAATGTGTCAGAAAATAACTCATCGAAGATACTTGGCTTATGATTTTGCACGCCAGACGCACGATTCGTCTTTAAAGAGACATCAGTGACGATCGAATAAAAAAAGTTAGATAGACAAATCAATTACTTACGAAATTGAAGAGATTAAGAACCTAATATTCTAATAGGTCTTGCAAATACTGATTTGGTTATCTATGCCATGGTAGAATTTCGAACAATTCAACAGTTTGTAAACAGATAGTTTACAATATGACCGTATCAATTATCAACAGAAGTGGTGATTACTGGGTTGGTGATACCATGGGGAACAAAACGTCCAACAGAAGCGCCATCGAACCAGCGGTTGTAAAAACTCATCAAAGATATCAGCCTCATTATTTCGTACGACAGACCAGCATTTCGTCTTCATTAAACTGATCGTTAACCGTTCGAATAAGAATTGTTAGATAGCCACATCAGGTACGAAGTTTTAGAGCATAAATAACCCAAATTCCAAATAAAGTTTCCAATTATCGTTCAAGTAATCTATGACTGAGAGTTAAAGTAGTAACCATAATGTTGTGTATGGAAAGGGATATTTTGTTGTATGGGAATATTATTGTTAAGGTAAATTGGCAAATATACTCATTTAAAAGTATCTTGTTGATTTGAACTCAACTACTAACATTCATGTGAACCTGATATAATCATGGCTACAAATAATATAAAAACTGATTTGTGTGTGTGATGCATTCAGAGTTCGGTGATGTGTAATACAACCAAAACAAACTTCCGTAAATGATATTCAATTTACCTTCTTAAAAAATCTATGGTCCAACTATTCATACGTGCAGTCGGAGAAAATAAAGTAGCATCCTCCTTCTCACACATCACGACAGCTTTCTCCCACGTTTCTCTAATTACATCTTGGTGGTCTTTAAGAACCAAGTATAATTTTCCATTATGTTCTTCCCATGTGCCGGCAACTGTCAATTACAAACCCAATTTCTGAGCTAATATAAACATAATCATACATTCTTTTTTATTTGTTGTTTTTCATCAATAATTGTCCGATTATGTATATTGTTTATAAAAAAGAACAAAATATTGTTCATTTGTATGTCTTGATAAAAAAAATCGATTAAAGACAATTAAGTACCCAGCCTACGCTACGGACACATGCTAACATAGACGATCGTATATTCAAATCTCATGTACTTTTATTCGTTTTTTTTACAGTAAATTAGTATAGTTTACATTACAGTTCAAATACAGGATAAATTAGCGATACAGTGTAAATTGCAATGTGATATGACCAATAGAAGATATTTTGTATTACTAGTTTTATTACAATTATTTCTATATATAAAATTTGTAGTATTTTAGCCAGATTAAAAACGATCAAAATCTTTTGGTCCGTTTAACTCAAGCCTGGTGTTCAAATATAATGTACAATCCTGGACTGGGTTGCACATGCGTCATTCAAAGTTCAATCATTGTTTAATTTTAGGTGTCAATTTAAAAGTGAACATCATTCGTTTGAAATAAAGCAAAAAGTAAAATAACAAAAACACATTGCAATATATCAAAATCAGATCTTGTCTTCTGTAGAAAGCCAACAGATTGTAATTATTAAAATAGCTATATTAAGAACAAGTTTGATATTACCTCCGATAATAAAAATTGTCAGAATACTGGTAATCATAACACTGTGATCGAAAGACTTTTCCATCTCTGCTTGTCTCTTCAAGACAAAAATGTGGACGATAAAACATCCAAATCTGCTTTTTTGGTATCACATTTTATATATGAAAAAAGAATCAATAATGTAGTTTTCTCAAAATTTCTTCAATACAGTACGAGCAGTAAAATAAATGCAATTAAAAACATGCTTTTTTTTGCCTGCAAATTGGATTTATTTTTTTATTTTTCTTTAACTATACACTGTGATATTGTATAACCATCAAACAGGTGGTGAAAAGAAATACCGTGTTTTCTCGTTAATTTATTTATCGTCATAAATTTCACAAAACTCTGAAACCTTTAGACATTTCAATGTGAGGACCTTGACTTATAATCATGAATTTGATGATGATAAAGGATTTTTAATGTCCAGTGACAAAGTAAATGCATATTCAGGAAGAGAACACGTAAATGTAATATTCAATTTATCCCTGCTTTGTACTAGACCGACACACTGGACTGGTTTTTTAAAATGCTTGTTCACAAGGTAACAGTTTGCAGGACGACATGTCAGCCTACTTAGACACATTATTCTGGCTCCGTACAGACCTGTCTTTGTTCATACTCCAAAATACCTTGTGATTAGCGGAGAAGCAGCACAAAACAATTTTGAAATGTTTGGTTTGACCCGGCCTTGAATCGAGCCCACGACATCCCTCGCTGGAGGCAAACACATTACTAGGAAACCAACTAAATGGTTTCATGAATTTGAGGTTACAAATCAAGGTCATGCCCTAAACATAGAATTTTGCTTTTTGCTCATGAAAACTGTAACAGATACTATATTGACTTTCTTTCTGTAAAACATGAAGAGCAGCATAACACACAGCTATTGGTCTGTTGTTCATGAATGAGAATCGGAAGCTGTCTTCTGTCTGAAGAAGGTTCTCCCTTACATGTTTGCAATTGATAAAAGCCGGTTACTGAACATCATAGATGTCTTCAGTTTATTTTGCCTGGTAGTTCAAAAACATTAGATTTAAAATCAACTTCAAGAACTACGGATAGCTTTCGATATTTATAAATGGTGTGTGGCTTATGTCATAATTTATTACATTCATCTGTATAACTTCGAATTATCTGCTGAAAAATGCGCATCTTTTATGAAAATTTAGGTTTCTGCTTTCTGAATGATATATTTTGATCTGAGAAAATATACAGTAACTGTTGAATAAAAAGAGTCCCAAATGATGTATTCGTGAACCACAAGGACATAGTCAATGAATTTCTATAACTAAATGAACTTACACAATTTATTGTTGTATCAAACGTCAATGTCAAAGCCTCACAAATATATAACACACCGCTTCCATTGTTTTTTTTTCTCTCACTGTCAACGAAAGTACAAAATCTAGATAAAAACATGAGATAAACTGTCAATTGGTTGTTTAAGGACACACGCACAAAATCGATAAGGAACAAACAATATATTACAGTTTAACATAGTTTTCTTTAAATACACGGAACATTCCTTCAATGTTGAGTTTGTATACGTTATAACTGTTACTGTCAGTTTATATATTATCCATTTACTTCAATTAACGAAACATGGGTGTTTATGAACTTGGGTTAGCAATAATATATAAATGAAACATCAAATAAATGTATTATTTTGTGACCGTTATAGGTCAATACAATAGAAAAAACTGTTAATTCTCAATAAGTGTCTATCAAATTAAATGTTGATACAAAATAATAATCCTTTAATGAATATTTGATACAGTCAGTTAATTAATGGTCAATCCTGTTCATTTTCTGTTTATCTCTAGTTATATTTTTCTCCATTTCCCTCCTAACTAAGTATGAGTTTAAAAATAATGGGGTTTGTATGTATTTCTGGTTATCTAAATCATACACTATAATATATAATTAAGGAGATGTGGTATGATTGCCAATGAGACAATTATCCACCCAAGTTCAAATGAAGTGAATGTAAGCAATTAAAGGCAACCGTTCGGCCTTCAACAATGAGAAAAACCCATACCGTATACTCGGTTATAAAAGGCCCCGACATGAAAAAAATGAAACCATTCAACTGAAAAAACTTACTGCCTAATTTACAACAAAACAATTTTCGAAAAACAAGAATAACAGACGACATGAAACAACGACAACCATTTAATTACAGGCTCCTGACTTGGGACAGGCACATAAATAATGTGGCGGGGTTAAACGTGTTTGTGAGCCCTACAACCTCCCTAACCTGGGACAGTGTTGTTACAGCACAACATAAGAACAAACTATAACTAGATTTGAAATTGCGAGCAATAACGGATAGCACCCTCGTCCCCACATTGCCAGGGTAATGGCAGCCATTTTGAAAATTCCAAAGTCAAAGACCGCATCTACACATGCCAATTAACATTGTTATAATTAAAAGTTTCATTAAGTTTGGAGCATTTTGAAATTTTGGTCATTTTTGCTGTTTCCATGGTAACGACGACCATCTTGAAAATGCCATACCCCGATTGCAAATCTGCACATGCTGGTTAACATTGTGGAATAGTTCCATGACCATTGGTTCATAAAATTCCGAGATATAAGCTGGACAAAAAAAGTGGAAGAAAAAAAGAAAAAAAGAAACGTAGAATAACAACATGTCACCCCAACTCCGTTGAGGGTGCCATAAAAATCAAAATCAGTTGAAAATGGCTTAACTCATCAGAGCTATACAAAGCATTTCTTTGACCGTTAAGTACCATCTGAGTCACAAATGATAATGAATATGTTTTACTTCCCGATCCTCGCCACAATCCTTTTTTTTCCTCGACTGTGGTATCATCAAGATGATCGATAAGACGACTTATCACCGAATTTCTATTTTCAAACAGTAACCATAACGAGTGCTACCAGTTGGCCAAAAACTACACGCCCTTCCAGAACACTTGCGTTGATCCCTAGTTTTTAACTGAAAAGGGATTTGTATTGTTTATGCTTTCAATGTTGTGTTATTTGCTCTTTATTTTTCAATGTCTATGTTGTTATTCCCGGGCTTGTGTTTCCTATCATGATTTCCTTGATAGAGGATTGCTGCTCACAACGAAGCTATTAAGCCAAGAGTTCCAAATGGTGAAGTTGAAATCATCCCTTCGTAAATTTTTACGGACGCCATCACGAGTTGGTTGACCGTTATGGAATAACCGTTTCACAGATGATATCGGATATGTTCCTTATGACGTAACTACAATACCCTTCCCTTTTCACGAATGTAACTTACCGAATTAGACTATTTACCGGATTTGTAATAACATAAGCAACACGACGGGTGCCACATGTGGAGCAGGATCTGCTTACCCTTCCGGAGCACCTGAGATCACCCCCAGTTTTTGGTGGGGTTCGTTTTGCTTAGTCTTTAGTTTTCTATGTTGTGTCATCTGTACTATTATTTTTCTGTTTGTCTTTTTATTTTTGGCCATGGCGTTGTCAGTTTGTTTTTGATCTATGAGTTTGACTGTCCCTCTGGTATCTTTCGTCCCTCTTTTGTTAACCAGTGAAAGTCTTATTTATCCATCTTATAGGAATGGGAACCCTTATTTCATTTCAAACGTTCACATTCGATTAAGTTTTATATAATTTACATGTACCAATGGTTTTTGCATGTTTTAAATTTTGTGATTCTAAGGGTTAGAAAGGAGACATTTATAAATCCACTATCAAGCGAACTGTATCCGTACCACAATTTGAGAAACGTTCAATCTATGGTTTTCAAATTCTATTATAATGTTTATGATAACAAAATGCAGGAATTTCACTTGTGTCGTCCAGGAGTTACAGTTCTTGATTTAATTGGGAAATGACACTACACTGCAATAACTTGAGATCAGTTCAACCCAATCTCTTATAAAAATTTAATTATGTTGTTACTGATAACAAAGGGAAAGTCAGTACGATATTTACAATCTTCACATTTGTTTTTCGGGAATTATAATCTTTGATTCTTTGAAAAACAGCAGTTTATGTCGATACTATGCGAACACTTGAGAACACTTGATCAAAACACACTTGAATCTTAATAAGTTGTTATTCATTTTCATTACAAAATGGAGGTCATTAGAGTTCTTTTCACTAAAAGAATTATTTCTATATATCTGATTACAAAATCAACTTTTATAAAAGTGAGCAATAGGTCTGATTACTCTTCATCCATTGAAAGACAAGATAAGAAAAAGAAAACTAACCCCATTTTATTCCTTTTACCCTATATTAACTCAACAACAGTCAAGGAATAAAATTAGAAATATTCATACCTGTACACTTACATCTTTAACCCGTTGTTTTTATTTAAATTAAAAAGAACAAGTCAACTGAATAGCTGTTATTAAAAACGTCAATGTAAACTACTTGTTTAAAGGAAGAGATGAATAAGTAGATACAATTATTGCAATTACTATTCCACAATTCGTTATTATTGTGATGTAAATAGGAACAGAATATAAACTATTGTATGGTAAGCTACAAATTTATCAAAGACGAGCTGTTGGTACGTGTGAGTATGTGTTTGTGTGTGTAAGGTAAGAGGGAGAGAGAATATCAAACTAATTAACACATCGAGTGACTTTATTGATTGTTCAGACCCTTTAAAACTGTTAATCGAATCCGAGTTTTAACTTTTTTTTCATTTGTTTGTCTTCGAACATAGATATTTCAAAAACTGATATCCTGACAGTTAAAATTACGTCTAAACTAAAGTCATATGAAACGAGTTTTTTGTAATTTGTTTGGAAATTAGTAAACTAATGCATACATATATACTAAGCTTAGTCCTCTTTGCACGTTTTTCCACATTTATTGCGAATCTGTAACGTATTATCGACGAATAATATTTCATTTATTCATTGTTGATTGCAAGCTAATTAACTTTCGAGTTCGTTGCCAAAGTTTACCTGATTGTTACATTGATGAACATTCAACACAGAATCTTGCAGCCCTTACAAAATAAGTGAATTGATGAAGCGATTTATATATATATCTTTTATTTTTTCCATGCGTTCCCATTTGTTAATTAAACTTTTCCATAACAGTTGTTAAATGCTTTGGTGTGTTCAATTTGTGTTTTATAATCAATAACTACTTTTTACCTAACAGGGCACGTTTGTTTACAGTCTTTCATCACGCTTTTTCCTTTGAACTTGTGCTCTGCGGTGGTAGAATTCGAACTTTTTACAAGATGTCCCGTAGTTAAGGTTACTGCATACGGAAACATATCCGCTAATTAGAGTACAGGAAGACAATAATTCAATAGCAGTACATTTCTGAAGATTTTGATAAGTTAAAGGATTTTCCACGTTTACTTGTTTTTATAGTAAAACTTAGCCATTCAAGTATATAAAACATATTCAACTTATTAAAAAATGTGAATTATCATATAAATTAAAGTCCCTAATCAACTGTAAACATCGTTCGATTTATCGTCATCGACCTGTTGATTCTTTTGTAAACTTGTAATTATCACCTCTAACTATACGTTTTACTTTTACAAATTCCTTGAATAGAAGTAACATAATTTGCACGTATATTGTAATACCTGAAACATATATCTAGCGCTGCATGGTATTTTTAACCGTTAAAATAAAGTCCCAAATCGACTTAGAAATTAAAATTTTTCGTCGTTGTCAGGATGTTTCGAAATGACGGATCTATCATTTATCATGTTTATATTTCAGATTAAATTTGCCGTTTTCATTATTTCAATGGCAAAGATTGCATGTTCTGACCATGTTTATTTTCATTGTAGCTGTTTTCGCACACACTAATATAAACTTTTTACAGTTCATACATTCACCATTTTATAACACCTGTATTGAAATGGACAAATGTAAAGACAACTGAATAGCCTGATAAATTATTAGTGTTAGTCAAGTTTGCGGATATATACAAGTTCACAATACACAATTATCCAGGTATTACACTGGGAAGATGCCAAACCAAATTATCAATATTGTATTAAATGTCCCATTTAGAAATTTATTTCCAAGTATTGAAGTAATATACGACGTAATTAACCCAAGGAAAATTCTTTCAAATATCATATTAAATTATTAGTTTCTACCACTACACTGTATGATAAAATAGCATAACAATAATAATGAAAAATATATATATATACATGTAATTAGATGATAACATTTCCAGCTGAAGAAATAGACGAACCAGGTATTTATGTTTGACATAACTGTTTTCATAAATATATCAATAATAATTACATTGTTTTTTCCTTGTGTAAATTGAAAGGTATGATAAGACTCTTTTGGCCCCTGAATTAAGAAATCGGAAGTATGATAAAACATACCAAATAACATCCTTCACATGTTCATCAGAAATTAGTCTGTCGGACATCAGTATTTATATTTTTAATTTTGTCTTACATAAAGACATTCAAACTTCTTACATTAAGTGCAAAACAACAAAAAC